GCACAACCTCAAGGCACTAAACAAGGAACACAAGAAGTTTCTAGAGAGCTCACAGGGTTCCCCACAGCCCAAGCCTCGCCAGAAAAGCAGACTGGTCGACAGGGCCAAGTCCAAAGTCTCCCGCTACTCATATGCACCATCCCAATGGTCGCACGCAGATCCATCCCACGTGTCTGAAACAGCCTCATCTTTTCGCCACATATCCAAGACACATTCCAGCATGTGCCAACAACCGCACGTCACAGGACCCTCACACCATTCAAAGGCATCTTCTCGCCAGAGCCATACATCTCAAGCCTCAGGAGCAGAGAGCATCGCCGCCCGTCTCAGGGAAGCATGGATCAATACCGCAATGGCTAACGTTGCTGCACAAGTAGCAGTAGACGACAAGCTACATAGAGAAGACTTGGCCAAAGCTCAGGCCAACTTTGAGATTTTCCAGCGACAACAGAGAGCAAAAGAGGCAGCCGCAATAGAAGCGATCCTGCAGAGAGAGTTAGAAGATGCCATGTCAACGCCCAATTTGGAAAGTCTAGGAAGGGAAAATTCTCACAGCCATGTACAGGCCTATGTGGACAACCAAAGCGCATTCCAGAATGCACAGATGAGAGCACCACAGCCAGCCACAAGCCCCCCAAGACCGAGTAGACGAACAGAGGAATCTCAACGACCTGATTCGCTGGTCAACCGCAGAGTTGATGTCACGACACCTAGGTCACGAGATCCTCCTGCCATTGCTGCCACATTGAACCTGATGGCAACGACTGCACAGCGGGGAGTGCCACAAGATCTTTCCACCGTTATCACCCCATTGAACCCCATAAAACCACACCTACAACACTGCATGCTTGTGACAACCAAACCTGTTTTGGTAGCAACAGTGTTCCAACCGCGCCTAGAACAACACTGCACGCTTGTGACAACCAAACCTGTTTTGGTAGCAACAGTGTGCCAACCGCGCCTAGAACAACACTGCATGCTTGTGACAACCAAACCTGTTTTGGTAGCAAGAGTGCTCCAACCGCACCTAGAGCATCGCATGCTTGTAACAACCAAACCTGTTTTGGAAGCAACCGTGTTCCAGACAAGCAAGACTTACTACAATTTAGCTTTGTCCATAAAGGACAAACAAGACAAACAACGCCCCCAAGACTGGGAGTCATGGAGCATACTCCCAAAATGTCTCCAAAGCATGCAAGTGCAGCGCATGTATGTCTCCAGCTCACCTGCCCCAGTGCAGAAGAAAGAGTTGTGCGCTTCCTTAGATGTGCCTACGAAGGTGTCTGCAGCCTTAAGATACATCTCACTCTACAGCAGGGAGAGCCACACTTACGTTATCTTGTTTGTGACCATAAGATGCATCAGAGTCTACAGCGGGGAGTGCTGCAGTCTTGGTGTCTTCTTTGGAAAAGCAAGACTAACAATGCAACAAGGCCACACCGTACCAAGGCTAGAACTATGTGGCACCACTTTGGCTGTAAAGCTGACCAACTTGACAGCAAAGACGTTGTGCCTTGAACTACAGTCCACCACCTTCTACGCAGACAGCAAGGTGATGTCAAGCTACATCTGCAAACAAAGTGGACACTTCTACGTCCATGTAAGCAACAGAGAGAAAAGGATTGAAACATCCTTAAGCCCTGAACAATGGCAACATGTGCCAATAAATAAGAACTTTGTTAACCAAGTAAAGTGGCCCAACCTTGCCACACAGATAACAGAACTGATCTGGCTAGAAAGTCTTCAGCTCTTGGCCTGTTCAAATAGACAGATGCCACATAGACCAAAAACGTTATGCATTTCCAGCTTCAGATCAAAGTGCCAGCCTTCAACCTCAGACACCTGGTAAATGTCAACCAATCTGCTTCAAAACCCGGTCTAAGCGCAGACAACTGAAGTTAGGCATAGTTTTGATCGTCTTGATCACTTGTTTCAGCACCCCAAGAATTAGCCTTGTAGAAGTCTGCAAGGACTTACTGCCTTTCATGGACTCCATGTCATTAAATACACTGACACCCACACATGAAGTCCTCACCCTGACAACAACAGTAGCAATCCTCTTCAGTACTCCACCGGTGGCTCCAGACCCTTCGGTTCTTGAGTATCCTGAGTCTTCTGCTCAAGCTGTTGTTCCTGATTCTTCACTTCCAGCTGCTGTTCCTGACCCTTCAGTCCCAGCTGTTGTTCCTGATTCTTCAGCTCCGGCTGTTCCTGAGTTTCCAGATGTTCCTGATCCTGAGTTTCCAGCTCCAGCTGTTCCTGAGTTTCCTGATGTTCCTGATCTTGATTCTTCAGTCCCAACTGTTGCTGAGTTTCCAGATCCAGCTGTTTATGTCTTTCCAGGTTTTGCAGTTCCTGAGTATCCTGTGAATCCAGTTCCCCTCATTCCCGAGAAGCTTGGGTTCCAGTTTTTTCTGTTCCAGATTTGGTTCCAGTTTCCTTCACAGGAAGAAGACCTTGTCTCATTGGGAGACAAGGCTGCATACCAGATCTATTGGCCCACGGTTCCTGCGCACCGGGCCCACCCACTTGATGAACTAGTTTACCCAGCTGAGATCCAGATCATGAAGCCACGTGAGTCAGGTCGTGACTCAAAGACACTTGTACCAGGCTGATCACCGATTTGGTCCATTGCTGATGCAGACTGAACCAGAAGATTAAACCTCAAATTATGTATTGTCTTATGCATTATTTGATGTAACACTTGCCTTTTTCATAATTGTGCATGTTTTATGTTTACCTTATAGTTATGCATGTTTGATACCAAGTTTTTACCTATTTAGTCACAAGTTAACCACAATGAGTATTGCACGCCTTGATGCTACGTTTTTACTATTTTAGTAGTGGAAATATAAATTTCCAAGCGGGGAGTGTTCTGGCCCATATAGCTCTATGGCCCATATAGCTCTATGGTCCAGCTCTATGTTGGAATGTCTGGCAGTTATTGGGTTAAATGCTAGGTATGTGGATGGGTCAGTGGGAGGAGTTCCAAAGGTCTTTGGGAGACTTCCTGGACACAAGCCACATGGGAATCTCTTTGTCTGTAAGAAGCATGGGCCATGGAAGGTCTCCCTATAAGATGGTATAAAGAGCAAAATCTTCTTACCTAAGGAAAGGATCTGAAAGATGAACAAACATGTATTCCCAGCAGCACCAATCTCAACGTGAACGCAAGTAATCTTTCTCATTAAAATATATTTGTTTGTTATAAGATCGTTTCTTTTGAGTTAACTATCTGACTGGATTTGAAATATAACACTTTTGAATTTGGGTCAGTATAAATGTATAGGCCAAGAAGAAGCTTATATGCAACAGTATACACAATCTGAGATGAAGAAGTTACTGATCAATTGAATTCTGGACTGGATTATGAGCTGATATTGGGAAAAAACAGGGGAAATGGCAGAGGAGATGAAATCATGGAGAAAAACTAAATACCTAGAATCACAAGCTGAGTCCCAGGATCAACTTACTGGCCAAGAAGAAGCTTATATGCAACAGGGTACTCAATTCGAGATGCAAGAACTTACTGACCAATTGAACTTTAGAAAAATTTTGGATCCAAAACCCCAGATTGAAACTTTAAATATTACAGAGGAGGATATTTCACAAGTTTATGTACAAATGGAGTACTTTGAAGATCAAAAAAGGATTATAAGTGAAGTTCTTCCATTGCTAAAATTAATTGACAGCCAGATGCGACCGATTAAAAGTTATGATAACCTGGATAAACAAGCTGAAACTATAATATGGAATAAAATGGACTGTATTGTTTATATGATACTGGAAGAGGGGGAAGAGAATTTTTAATCAGATTGACTTGTTGACTCAAATACCGAGATTTGATGACATTAATGTTATTACGAAAGCCAACTTGTTATAGAAGAAAGGCCAGAGTTAGATTTAAGAATGTGATATAAAATTTTAATTATTGGGTCAAAAAGGTTTTAGAAATGTGGACTGATTTGACAATCTAATTGAGTAAATGGAAGTACTAAGATAATAATTGGTGTAATAATATGTTTGTTTTAGATATGATAGTTAATTTGGTTGATAGAGTATATTTAGAATAAATAAGGGAAGTTTTTTTGGATTAAGATTTGGTGGAACATTCAACTGATTCCACAATTATTTTTATTGGGTGTTATTATAGATTGTGATGCCAAAGAAATTAACTTGATGTTGAATTTGATAATAGCTGCAAGATTATTAGTAGGGCAATATTGGAAGAAGGATTGTTTGCTTACTATAGAAGCATGGGTGCTTAAAGTATTAAATTTAGCAGAAATGGCTAAGATTTCTGTTTATTTGATGGATCACTTACAGGAAAGATACATTTCGGTTTGGAGAAGATGGATAGATTGTATTCAGAATAGATATGGGATTAAAAGTTTATATTTAGCTTATGAGTGAATTTTAGAGTATTATTATTAATAGTTTATTATAGTGGAACTTTTTTATTATATTAACTTGTTTAAGTTTTTATCATTATGTTTATTTTCAATTTGGTTACAATTATGTTATTAGTATTGTTTAACAATTTGGAGATTGTATTGTTCAATAATTAGGATATCAACTTGTTTATGTTTTATTACTATTATGTTTATTTTCAATTTGTTTATATTTATGTTAAAGGGGAGTTAAAGCACATTATGGACTTGGTTATTTATATAGTTGGTTAATGTTAGTTAGATTATGATTATCATATTTGTAACCCTGTACTCAGCTCTGGGAAGTGGGGGAGGGAGGGGGGGTTTGGGTAGGTTGATTTTGGTTTATATTGTAATTTTTATAAAACTTTTTAATAAAAAAAAAACATCCAGCTCTGCCTATCCCAAGACCTTGGTAAGAACTCAATAGGTAGACAAAAATGGCAAACCGGTCTGAACATCTGTCTGACTTCGATGAATAATAATAATAATAATAATAATAATAATAATAATAATAATAATAATAATGGAAGTATGCAGCTAATGAAAGTTAAAACTCAAATTGCCACTTTATTAGGAATGTCATAAACAAATATAAATAAACATATGACTTTAAAAATTATGTAATTATTATGTCTAGATACCTGTCTAATGAAATAGTTTACTGTTTCATACTATTTTTTCAGAAGAAAAGTGTTCTTTTGAAAAAAAAATTACATCTACTCAGTACATCCTGATTATCAATATGTTCAAAAGGTTTCACTACTATACAAATAGTCCTCAACTTATATTCATTTAGTAACCATTCAAAGTTACAACAGCACTGAAAAAGTGAGTTATGACCATTTTCCACAATTACAACTACCTGTATTTGGTTATTTCTCTCCTTTTACAAGTAGAGGCTTAAATTTTATAATTCTGACCTCCCTCACCTTTACGGATGAAAAATCAATGACACTATTGAATATTTATCGTAATTATTATTAGTAGTAGTATTAACATAGGTGTACAGTACTTTGGTGGGGATACTGCTTTTTCATTTCATTTGATTCTGTAATGTTGTCATTGACATAGTCTGCAGTCTCAAACATCCTCTTTGAGCTCGTTGCAGAGACATACCTGCTCTGGATCAGAAGGGAACAGATAATTAAAGAAAGCAGAGATGCTCACCTGCCACCTGGCAGCAGCAGCTTCCAAGATCCTGCTCTTTTCCTTGATTTCTGCACCACATATTGGAAGTACGGAATGGGGGTGGGGGGGTAAAACATCCATGTCCATTTAAGTGCCAAATCAGCTCTTTTTCTTAAAATCTGCAACCATGCAGCTGTGTATTGGCTCAATGCTTTTACAGATGTAATGCTTTTACAGATGTATTGTTTGCTTAAATTTCCCCACAAAGGAGTGAAGAGATGTCAGATGGATTCAGTTAAATGATCTTGGATCTTCAAGATCTATCAAGTATATTTATCTTCCCAGCCTTTCATACTTCCTTCTTGATGAAATTATACAATTTACATTTTGCAGCTAACCTCAAAGAGAGAGGCAGCTGAATGCATCCGGTAGAAAATGGAAAAGGGCATTGCAAGATTCACCATAATGATCCAAGGTTCAAATCCAAAAACCATTTCTTCCAGGCCATTGTCATATTCAGGGCGGCAGCCAAAAGCTTGTGGAATCCAAAGCTATATAAAAAAAAGAACATTTGTAAAAAAAAATATCTAGACACTGTTTCTGTGAGATTATGCTGGGAACAATATTTTTCAGCTTGATTCATATAATTTAACTAAAAATTCAGTTGCAGAATTTTAAATTTTATTTTGTATTATTTGTTCACATTATCATATAATCTTTGTCCTGGTTTCAAAACCCCTTTCTTAGGTTTAAAATTATAGATTGAAAAAAACAATAGAACTTAATATTAATTGGATAAAATAAATAATTTCTAAAAAAGCTATGAGAAGTAAGGGGACTAGTTTAAAACATATCTGCCAGCTGGCTAATATGGTTGAGTAGCCCCTAGTGCCTATAGATCAGGGGTGTCAAATTGCTGGCCCATGGGCCGGATGCATTATGCCAAAACCATGCCCACCCCATTGCCGGCAATGGAGAAAAAGTCGCAATACATCGTGACACGTCATGTGACATTGCGAGTTTGACACCCCTGCTATAAATGATAATAAAGGAGATAAAATCTTCCTTTGAGGGGGAGAAACATATAATAATATGTTTTGCCCAGCAGATCTGTGTCCATTTTGTAATTTCTAGAACAGACCACCCTCTTCCTTCTCAATTCCTCTCCCTTTTGAGAATGATGCTTGGTTGCTAGTTTGTGAGCAGAAATTGAGGGGTTTTTTTATTACGCTAATTTGGCTATCTTTGTTGGTTGAAGAGCAAGCAAGTTCAATCTTTGCTTACTCTTTGGAAGAGAAAAGGACCCAAGGCAAGATGTCCAACAGTTCATCTGGCCTCCAGTGGTTGTATTCATTCAGCTACATGACAAGTTACATGAGTAGGAAGAATTTCATCTTCTGATTTCTGCAGACCAAGTTAATGTTAAAGACAAAACACACTGAGGGAAATTGTCCCACTATAGAATAAATTGCATTATTTTAAATACTTACTGAGAGATTACACAAGAACAAAAATACAGCAATATTCTTCAAGATACTTTTGCTGTTGACAGAGAAGTTTCTCAGAGTGAATGAGAAATCTGGAGAGGATGGAGGGACTGGAAACTTGCTCTGATCGATGTTTTCATGGAAAGCACAACTGGAACTGTTCTCAGATGGATAACTATTTCCATAATATATGGATGACAACTCTCCATTTGTTCCATTATAGATTTCTTTGTAGGAAGCTGTAGGGGAAAGATTGCTTCCACTGGACACTGTTAATATTCGCAGAGTTTTAATGTCATCATTACTCTTGTCATGCTCACGATGTATAGATTCAATTATGAAGAGGTTCTGAATGTATTTCTCAATGATAACAAGCACAGAGTAGGGTAAATTGAACCATGTATATGCAGGATGGGACTGAGCAGAGATAATTGCAAGAATAGAACCCCAAGAAAGAAGCCAGGAGCCTGAGGCAGTCCCCACCAAGAGGTCTGCATCAAGTTTTCTAGCTGGATTTTTAGAAACATCCAGTGATTTGTCTTCAAGTCTATAGATTAGAATCGCCACAATACCAGCTGCGCACATGAGTGCCAGTACTGTGATGGCATACAAGTAAAACATAGTAAGTGCTAGTTCACTCTTTAATTTTGAACGCCCAATCTGAATAAGATAAACAACTACAACTGCTATTGTTGTAATAAATACTACTAGACCTAAGATGTTGCCTATTGCTTTGCCCTGAAACTTGAATGGCATCTTGTGTGGCTGTAGATATTCAACTTTACGCCCAATGTTTTTCCAGACCACGTACAGCATTGTGGATGCTAAAATGTGGTATTCAATATTGAAGGGGTATAAATAATATATTCCTTGGGAAAATATGGAACAGAGGGTAGTGGAGGTACAGTTGCAAAGTGGTGTATGATCATCCAGTTCTATGCAGAAAGAAAAGAAAAAAAGAATGAAATCATTTCTCATTCCTAAAATGCCTAAAATCCCTAGTTACTAAGGAAATGCAGGATACAAATACTATTATATTTTAGTATAATATACTAGGAACTTATACAGGCAGTCCTTGAATTACAACAGTTCATTTAGTGAGTGTTTGAAGTTACAACCACATGGAAAAAAGTGACTTTTGATCATTTTTCACACTTATGACCATTGCAGCATCCCCATGGTCACATGATCAAAATTCAGATGCATGATAACTGACTCATAGTTACAATGGTTGCAGTGTCACGTGATCACCTTTTGTGACCTTCTGACAATCAAAGTCAAAGAGAAAGTCAGATTCACTTAACAACCATGTTACTAACTTAACAACTGCAGTTATTCACATAACAACTCTGGCTAGAAAGGTTGTAAAATAAAGTACAACTCACTTAACAACTTAAAAACCAATTTAGCAACAGAAATTTTATGCAAAACTGTGGTCATAAGTCAAGAACCACCTGTAATAATAAATATTACATAGTCAGGGACAAATAATCTTAAATAAAAAATCACAACTCTTAATATGATATTTTCCCCAAATTTATATGCTCAGCTGTGACAAAAAGTTAACAGAATAATAGAGTTGGAAGGACCTTGGAGGTCTTCTAGTCCAGAGCTTTTCAACCTTTTTACCAATTGTACCACTTTTAGGATATGGCAATATTCAAGTACCGCCTAGCAAGATGTCAAAAACTTGATGACCAAAAAAACCAAAAAACCTGTTGAAAGTTGCAATTGCACTGAAATGACTTATGACCATTTTTCACACTTATGACCATTGCAGTATGGCCAGGGTCATGTGATGTATATTTGGATGCTTGGCAACTGATTCATATTTATGATGGTCACAGTGTTCCAGGGTATTGTGATCCCCTTTTGCAACCTTTTGACAAGCAAAGTCAATGGTAGGGCTGCTGGTGGCCAAGTGCTAAGGTGGGACTTCCCTCCCTCCCTCTTTCTCATTCCCATCTCCTTCTGAAGGAAGAATTTGACCCCTCCCCCATATTTTCTCTCTTCCATATATTCACCAAACAAGGAAAAGCCTCCAGAGACAGAAAAGACAAGCTGCTGAGTGAACTAGCTTAAAAAGGCACATTCCCCTTTAAGAATTAGCTACTGGCTAGAAAAGAAAGTTAAGCAGCCGGCAATTAAGGAAGAAAAAAAATGTAGTAAGTACTGGCTGCTGGGTAAGGCAGCCTTGCCAAATGGCTCCATTCTGATTTCTGAAATAAGGAACTGAGCAAGAAAGAATGGCTAATGTGTGTTTATTGTTTTCCAGATTACTCCCAACTTTTAGGAGGGTCCACCTATCAAGTCTTTTTTTTATTAAAAGTTTTACAAATTTAATACAATATAACCCAAACCCCTCCCACCCCTTCCCCCCTCCCCAACTTCCCAGAGCTGATTACAGGGTAACAAATAAACAATCATAATCTAGCTAACATTACCCGACTATAATGTCAATCAAATCATAAGATACTTTAACTCCTTTTCAAAACAAATATTAACAAATTAAAAACAAAAAAATAATATAATACTGTAACACTAAAAATAATATAAATTCAATCATATTAAACTATTAATAATAACCTAAAATCTACTCATAAGCAAGATAATACTTTTCAGTCTCATATTTCTTTTGAATATAATCAATCCATCTTCTCCAGACCGAAATGTATTTTTCTTGTGAATGATCCTTCAAATAGGCGGAATTTTTCACCATTTCTGCTAAATTAGACACCTTAAGTATCCATTCTTCCATAGTAGGCAAAGAGTTTTTCTTCCAATATTGCCCCACCAATAATCTTGCAGCTGTTATAAAATTCAACATCAAATTAATTTCTTTAACATCAAAATCATCCATAATACCCAACAAAAATAATTGCGGAGTAAACTTTATCTTTCTCTTAAAAATCTTTTGAATATTCCACCAAATCTTAATCCAAAAAGCTTTTATATCTCTACATGTCCACCAAATATGATAATAGGTTGCATCTAAGCTTCCACATCTCCTGTAATTGGGATACATGCAGGACAACTTTTGGGGATCCAAGTGCCATCTATAAAACATTTTATAAAAAATTTCTCTTAAATTTTGCGCTTGGGTAAATTTTACATTTCTGACCCAAATTGTCTCCCATGTATCCAATAAAATTGGTTCTTGAATATTTTGAGCCCATTTAACCATACAATCTTTAACTAAGTTTGTTTCAGAATCTAATTCTATTAAAACATTATAAATTCTCTTTATATGGGCTTGAGTTTGATCTTTAATCTGTTTTACCAAATTTACATCCCTCTAAGGTAATACCAACCTTTTGATCTAAACTCCACCTTACTAACAATTGATTGTACTGAAACCAAGAGTATACAATATTTCCTTGCTTCAGCTCAATTAAAAGCTTTAGTTGCCAATCCTTCCCTACTAAACTAAGTAATTCCTTATAAGAAATCCTATCCAAATTCACTCCCCTAGATATTCCCTCTATCGCGTAACCAGGACTTCCTCAAATTGGAATTTTATAATTTAACCTATAATAATACTTCTTCCAGACACGTAACAAAGCACTTCTCAAAATATGGGATTTAAAAACCTGATCCACTTTTTTATCATAAATTAAGGCTCCATTCTTAAATAAAGGAATGCTACAGGCAAAATCCATTCAGAAGAAAAATATTTCAAAATCCCTTGCAGAAAATGTACAGCTAACAATAGCAAAGCAATAGAAACTAACAGGAGCCATCAGTCAAATAGAAATTGCCAAACACTCAAGAACAGAAAGCCCCCAGGACTTCAAAGTCATAAAAGCACATAAGAATCTTTCCACTCTCCATCTCCCTGCCTCACCTCCAGCCATTGCTGCCTTTTTTCACTCCTCTTGGAGGGTGACCCCTCCCCCACTGCATTTCTTGCCTGTTTGCTGCTGCCAGCACAGGTGGCTGCAACAGCAGTTGTAGATCAGTTCATGGCCAGCCTGCTTGATCTCTTCTCCTCTCCCCCACCCTCCTCCTTCTTCTTCTTTCCCTTCAGTGCAACTAGAGCTGACTCTGCCTCCTCCCAAGGCTGCTGCTTTTTTTCTCTCTCCCTCTCCTACCCAAACTGCCTCCTTTTATAGCCTCTCCTGTCTCTGTCCCTCTCCTCCTCCTCTCTCATGGGGGAGGGTGAGCAAGAAGTGAATCTGGGGCCTTTGCCTTGCCCCAGCAACTCTGCTGCTGCAGAGGATTCTCTCACAATAAGTCCTTGCCTGCGCTGGCTCTTTCCCTCCCCCACTACACTTGGCTAGGCAGGGCTGCGTACCACCTGCCACTTGTTAATGTACATCACTTCTGCAGGGCTGTCAGGGCTCAGCAGAAGTGCCAGGATCAGTGCTGGGCTCCAGCTGATCGGCGCTTCCTTGGGGCTCAGAGGAAGCACAAGGATCAGTGGTAGGCTCCAGGCTGATCAGCATTCCTTTGGGGCTCAGCGGAAGTGCCACAATCAGTGTGGGGCTCCAGCTGATCGGCGCTTCTTTGGGGCTCAGCAGAAATGCCAGGATCAGTGCTGGGCTCAGCAGAAGCACCGATCAGCTGTAGCTGCACATGCCGATCCTGGGGCTTCTACTTAGCCCCCATAGCCCTGCAGAAGCACATGCCGATCCTGGGGCTCCTGCCCAGCTCACTCGCTTGCCCTTCTCCCAAAAACACGCTGCTTGCTAAAAGAGGCCACTCATGCACTCTTCTCCTGAAAACATGCCGCTTGCTAAAGAGGCTGCTCATTAATGCACCCTTCCCACGAAAACACACCACTCGCTAAACAGGCCGCTTGCTCATGCACCCTTCCCCCCAAAAAACACACCGCTCACTAAACAGGCCACTTGCTCACTCACCCTTCCTCCAAAAACAGGCCGCTTGCTCTGTCTCTCCTCACTGCTTTGGTAAGAAAAGTCTCTTCTTGCTCTTTCTCTCCCTCTCCCACCAAAACCTGTTCCTTTTATACTTCTCTTCTCTCCGCCTTCCTCTTCTCTTCTGGGTGCACAGAAGCTCCAATTAACATGTTGCCATGTGTGTCAATTCTGGGGCTTCTGCCAAGCTCTGCAGTTCCAGCTGATCTCCTCCAGGTCTGTGCAGAGTCACTTTAGCTGGTTCTCTCCCCCGCTACACTTGGCTAGGGGTCGCATACTACTTGCCAGGTGCTAAACTACCATTGGTGGTACGCATACTGTTATGTATTGAGGTGAATTACTTGGAAAATGTTGGAAATGGTCAAACAGCTGTGTCTGTTTAAAGTCCAGACTGTCTGTCTACATACTTGTTAGCTTGTGTTTAAGCGGGAAAGATTGCTTTAATTCTATTGGCTGCCGCCTAGCAGTGATCTGTATAAATAGAGGTTAAGCGGCAGTTAGTGCTGCTTCTGTGTTAACTTAATAAACAAGTTGTTGTTTGCACCATTTGCCTCGTAAATGCCTCACCAATCCCGAAACATAACAATGGCGATGAGGAAGGGGTGGGTTGCTAAGGGAGAAGAGCCAGAAGTCACTAGAGGTGAGACCAGGCCTCAGCGCCCTGGAAGGAACCATGTTCCTCCCCCCACTCTGCCTGCCAGCAAGCAACACTGGAGGCCCACGTCCCTAGGACCAACACAGAAGCCTTAGCAGCACAAGGCATTGAGAGGTCAGAGACAACTCACCATGCCCAAGCTTGGAAAACTGTCGGAGTTCGACGTGTCACATCCCGAGAGGTGGAGTTCATACATTTCTCGAGTCGAGAACTATCTGAGAGCTAACCAAGTTAGCAAAGATGGCTTAAAGGCTGCAACACTGCTGTGCGTGTGTGGCCAGGTGACGTTCAATATAGCCAAAAACCTAGTTGCTCCAGCTACGCTTGAGTTGGTCGCCTACTCCGAGCTCAAGAAAATGCTCAAGGAACATTTCGAGCCGAACCTCTCTATTATTGCCTGGAGACACACCTTCAAACAAAGGGAGCAGCAACCAGGCGAGTCTGCTGCTGAGTTCATAGCTGCCCTACGACAGGCGTCCCAGCTCTGCAATTTCACAGACCTCGAAGAGAGACTGAGAGACTGTTTGGTATGCGGGTTGAGAAACAGGGACCTTCAGCAGAAGTTGTTTGCGAAGCAGACCTTGACGTTCCAAGATGCCTTGAAGGAAATTATGGCTGAAGAAGCCACGGGGGGAGCTGTCAAAGCCTTACAGCTCTCCAAGAACACTCCCAGCCCAGAAACCATCCACCAGGAGGATGCTGAAAGAGTCAAGGATTCCAACACGGACCATGAGATTGATCGGCTGCAGAAGCCACCAGAAAGAGCCCAGCAGCCATTTGACAAGGCAGTTCCCTTCACTCGATGTGCAAGCTGTACAGGGCAACATGGACATTTGGAGTGCAGGTTCTGCACAGCAACGTGCCGGGCGTGTGGTAAACAAGGCCACATCGCTGGCGTCTGTAAAGGTCGGCAGAGGGAAATTCCACAAGAAGAGTTCCCCAGGAAAGTTACCGGGGCCCTGGGGCAACATAGAGTTGGTTATTGCTCCAGCAGAAGGAGCGTGTTTAGGACAGGTGCCCATCGCCCCCTTAAGGAAAAGCTGAGAGTCAAAGTCAAGCTTCAAGGGGTTCCATGCCACATGGAACTGGACACTGGATCAGCCCTATCTATAATTTCCCAAGGAACGTTTAACCAAATTTGCAGTCATAGCAGCAAACGAGTTAAACTGAAGCCGTTGAATCTCTTGCTAACAGATTTCCAGAACTCTCGCATAACGGTTAAAGGAGAAGCTACTCTCAAAGTACAGTTCAAAGAGTTTGAGGGTCCCCTGGACATCGTGGTAGTTGAGGGTCACCGCACAAGCCTCATCAGGCTAGACTGGTTTGATGCCTTGGGCATCCATGTGGCTGTCATAAACAGAAAGCAAGCAGCAGACCTGTCAGCAGTTTGCAAAGAATTTGCTGATGTTTTCAGCTCTAACTTAGGGAAGTGCAAGGGACCTTCAATTGCCCTCCACCTTGATCCTACCTTAACCCCAATATGGATCAAGCCTCGGAGAGTGCCTTTTGCCCTCAAACCAAAAATTGATGCAGAGCTGGACAAGCTGGTGCAACAAGGCGTGTTTCAGCCAGTAGATAGCAGTCGGTGGGAAACCCCATAGTTATGCCACTTAAGGCCAACAGTAAGGTCCGCATTTGCACGGATTATAAGTGCACTATTAATAGAGCACTGCAACAACATTCATATCTGGTGCCTGTAGTCAGCCACATTTTGGCGTCACTACAGAGAGGTTGCATATTTGCCAAATTGGATTTGACTCAAGCCTATCAGCAACTGCCCGTGGATGATGCCGCAGCAGACGCTCAAACTCTAGTTACCCACAGGGGAGATGCCTACAATTTGGGGTCAGTGTAGCCCCAGGGCTTTTCTAGAGCGTGATGGAGCGCACACTCAAAAATATTCCAGGAGTGTGTCCTTATTTTGATGACGTCCTCATAGCTGGGGAGTCAGTAAAAATATTGGCAGAATGGCTCAAAGCTGTCCTTCAGCATTTCTGCAAAGCGGGGCTGAAACTGAAGAGGGAAAAATGCAAAATAGGGGTAGCTTTGACCGAATTCCTCGATGTCCACATAGATGCCGCAGGCATCCACCCTGCTGAATCCAAGCTCAAAGCAATTCAGCAGGCTCCAAGTCCTAAGTCATGGGGGGAGCTTCAGGCATTCCTGGGGCTGCTCAATTTTTATCATGCCTTTCTTGCACACAAGGCCGCAGTGGTAGAGCCATTACAAAGGTTCTTGGACAAAAAGGCACAGTGGCAGTGGATGAGCGTCCACGAGAAAAGTTTCTCGGCAGTCAAATCACTGCTGTCTTCAAACTCGATACTGACACACTTTAACGAACAGCTGCCGATCAGCATTGCTTGTGATGCATTCCCATATGGGGTAGGGGCTGTGTTGAGTCATTCAACGGCTGACGGGAGACAAGTCCCCATAGCTTATTATTCAAGGACTCTGTCCTCGGCAGAACGCAACTACGCCCAACTACCAGCCCATTGTAACTGGTATCAAGAAATTTCATGACTATTTGTATGGTTGGCCATTCAGGGTCTTTATGGACCACAAGCAACTTCTGGACCTGTTCATGACAGACAAACCAACACCTCAGATTCTCTCCACAGATGCCGAGGTGGTCTTTCTTTTAGCCTATAGTTACAGGCTAATTCACAAACTGGGCAGGGAAATGGGCCACACGGACGGCCTTAGCAGGCTGCCCCTGCCACAATTATAACCAGACCCCGCTCCAGCTGATCGCATCTTGGCTATCCAGGATTTGCCGGAGTCTCCCCTTCACACGGGGGACGTGGTTGCCGAGACAGCTTCGGAAAGACGCTGAGTCATCTTGGTGCTCACAGGATGGCCAGACATTAGTCCGGGGCCTAACTTTCAGAGCTTCAGTAGGAGGAAGGACAAGCTATCAGCTCACAAAGGCTGCATTTTGTGGGGGAGTCGGGTTATTGTCCCGAACTCCTTGAGGCCCAGAGTGTTAGAGTCTCTGCATGAGGGACATCTGGAAATAGTCCGGATGAAGGCACTCACAAGAAGCTAACTGTGGTGGCCAGGGTTAGATAAAGATATTGAAGCCCCAGTACACAGTTGCTACATTTGCCAGCAATCCAGGCCAGGAATGCCTCAAGCCCCAGTCCACAAATGGGAAACCACACAAGCCCCATGGTCAAGAATCCACATCGATTTTGTGGGACCCTTTCAGGGACAGCTGTTCCTCATTGTGGTGGACAGTCACTCTACGTGGTTAGAGATTGTACCTGTCCCAACTATGACTACCCAGGAACTGTGCAGGATCTTTGCCACCCACAGGTTACCCAACATGCTAGTCTCAGACAATGGGGCTCAATTTACCGCTGCAGAATTCCAGTCTTTTTTGAGGGCTAACATGATAAGGCACGCCACTTCGCTCCCCTTTCACCCAGCCTCAAACGACCAAGCGGAACGCATGGTCCGGACGACCAAAGAATCCTTAAAGAGGATCGTAACTGGCAACTGGCAGCATAGGCTGGCAGACTTTTTACTCTGCCAATGTACGACTCCCTGCACTTCCACAGGCAGAAGCCCTGCAGAACTAAGATGGGGCTGTTGTTTAATCACTAAGCTGGATCGTCTGCATCCAGACCGAGTTGCCTTGGAATCAGCACAGCCAACAGCACGCAGAGATTGCATGTGGGTGACCCGGTTTGGGCACAAAACTATGGTCAAGGGGCACTGTGGGTGGTAACTATGGTTGGTAAGGTGTCAGGGCCACTTTCTTACGAAGTGGTCCTGGAACACGGTCACGTGCTATGTCGGCACGTCGACCAACTGCACAGGAGGCTAGCGAACCAGCCGCTGGCTCATGACTCTTGTGAAAGTCAAATCCAGGGGGAGCACGACAGCAGCCATGCATCGGAGTCTGCGAGCACGGGCGAGAACCCCAGATGAGGGGATGGGGCATTAGCGGAAGGCAAGTTGGCCCCAAACGCAGAGACTGCACCCAATGAGCAAATCCAGAAGATGGCTCCAATTTCCGGCCTGGTGGAAACTGTTCCACCAATGGACACTGGCTTGGGTCTACCTGGACATACCAGCCACAGCTCCGGTCTACCCATTGCAAACGGGTCCCAAAGTCCTAATCTACCCAGCATGGCAGGTGAGCTGGTAGACCAGAGGCTTTCAATGGTGCCGAGACGTTCAGAATGGTCAAGAAGGCCACTGAAGTATTTACAGGACTATGTTCAATACTTGTCATTGTGAACTATCTAGGGGGAAGGGGTGTTATGTATTGAGGTGAATTACTTAGAAACTGTTGGAAATGGTCAAATGGCTGCATCTGTTTAAACTCCAGACTATCTGTCTACATACTTGTCAGCTTGTGTTTAAGCAGGAAAGATTGCTTTAATTCTATTGGCCGCCACCTAGCGGTGATCTGCATAAATAGATGTTAAGCAGCAGTTAAGTGCTGCTTCTGTGTTAACTTAATAAACGAGTTGTTGTTTGCACCATTTGCCTCATCAATGCCTCACGGATCCCAAAACATAACACGTACCATGGTTGAAAAGCCCTTTTCTAGTCCCCCGCTCAAGCAGGAGATTCTATACTATTTTAGACAAATGGTTGTACAGTCTCTTCTTTAAAAACCCCAATGATGGAGCACCCACAACCTTTGATGG